GATGAGCATTTTTTCATATGTTTGTTGGCCTCATGTATGTCTTCTTTTGTAAAGTGTCTGTTCATATCCTTTGCCCACTTTTGAATGGGCTTGTTAGTTTTTTTCTTATAAATCTGTTTTAGTTCTTTGTAAATTCTGGATATCAGCCCTTTGTCAGATGGATAAACTGCAAAAATTTTTTCCCATTCTGTTGGTTGCCGATTCACTCTAATGACTGTTAGTTATAAATTATTAAATATATACGGCACATACAGTTGTCAGGCTATTTTCATTTGTATTTATCTCATTTAAATGTAGCCGCTATTGAAATCAAGATATAATTAATGTTTGCTTTTTGAATGTTTCCTATTCTAATAAATACAGTGACGGCAAATAAACATTTGTTGTCAGCTGTTCTTGGCCCTTTTTATATCAAATTTTAGTAAAATTTGGTATACTGGCAGAATATTAGAGAATAATGTAATTATGTTCAGCTAAATTTATAGTTTTTTATAATTATAAGTTAATTTAGTTGTTTGTAAGAAGAAACTATTACTGACATACTCTTTTTTTTTAACTGATATATTCTTTGAGGTCTGAGAGTATGTCTTATGTTGTATCTACCCTAGTATTTACACTTGTACTAGGTGTATACTTAATTTAATTTTGTATTTGATTTTTTTAAACCCTGCTTTTATCATTTAATTTTTACTTAAGTACTGTGGTTTTTATTAAAGTTTGTTTTTAATGGTAAAACCAATTTATCAAATGTAGTCTTTTTTTCCCCCTTTTGAGACAGAGTCTTGCTCTGTCACCAGGCTGGAGTGCGGTGGCACGATCTAGGCTCACTGCTCACTGCAATCTCTGCCTCCCCAGTTCAAGCAAATCCCCTGCCACAGCCTCCTGAGTAGGGACTATAGGCGCACACTTCCATGCCCAGCTAATTTTTTGTATTTTAGTAGAGACAGGGTTTCACCATATTGGCCATCTCTCTGGACAGCTTCTCTTCTACAGCATATGTTTGGCTACCTGTCTTCCACCTGATATCTCTTTTACCGGATCATGATTTAACACCAGCCCTATAAATTACTTCAGTACTCTTTAGTTCATGGCTTAGTTTTCCTTGTCCTCTCAAAAGTGGCCATTATTCCTCTGACCAGCTGGTCATTTATCATTTTGAGTTTTAGAAATGAATTGCTCCCAATTATTACATCAGTCTGTTTCCTCTGCAGCTTCTTCGTGATCAATTTAATTATAAACCAATTTTGACGAAAAAGCAGTTCATCCAATGTGGGTTTGCAGAACGGAAAATTCAAATTGTTTGTGATATTTTGAATTGTGTGATGAAAAAGCACAAGGAATTAAGCAATCTTCAGAAGGTAATTTTATGAATAGATTTTAATGCTAATATATGCTATTAATAGATGGCTCAGTACTTTAATGTATAAAATCAATACCCTAGATCACAAATTATTACATAGTACACTTACTGTATTATTCAAATATTTGAGTAACCTTATAAAGCTTGATGTTTATTTTAAATACTGCTCTTTTATTTTATACATCTGTGTCTGGGAACTGCTGGTGTTAAACTAAGTTCAAACATAATACATTTTGATTACTTCTTAAAAGACATGTAGTCTCATCTGAGTCTCATCATTTGTCAGCTATATTTCATACATGAAAATTTAAATGTTAATGGAATTTTAATATATAATTATGCTTTCACACAAAATCTGTTATTTTGACTAATACCTTTTTTTAAGATTCCATCACAACAAAGGAAGAAAATGAATTCTGCTAAGTCAGAACCTCCTTTAAGCAATGAGAAAATATCTGCAGAAGCTATTGGCATTGATAGCACTGGGAGGTTTATAACTTCAGGAAAGGTACGCAACCACAAAGAAAACATCATGTAGTTTAAGAGTTACCTAATCAATGTACAGTGTTCACTTTTCTGACTGGCACCTGGTGAAACATTGTAATTAGATAATGGAGTGTAGGGATTTTTAACAGTGCATGTCATATTCTTTTGAGAAATATTCCGGAAGTTATAACAGTGGATAGAAATGTAAAATTAAGTAGGTGTTCTCTTTTTATTTCTGGTTTCTAATTCTGCCTAGTCTCCTAAACAAAAGGGTAGTGATTTAGGAAGATTATCTTAAGCAGTTGTCTACATTTGCTCTTAATTGTATATCTGGTCTTCCTAAAACATGGGAACGTATGAAGAACCTACATTAGTAATAGTGATAGTTTATAATGATTCAGTTATGTACATTTGTATTTCTGTAACCAAGTATGAATTATCCAATGATTGGTAGTCCCTACATGTAGAATCTGGTTTTCAGTTAATATGTTGAATGTTTTCATTTTGTTAAGAGATGATTTCTCTGCCCTTACCTGCTTTGATCAGCTGTGGCAAAATGAATCTAATGCATTCAGAGATACAGTTTTTCTACCAGTAAGGGAGATATAAGCTAAAATATTATTTTATGATATACTTTCAGCTGTCTTCCATCTGGAGAAAACTCTTTCTGATTGAATGATAGAATATCAGATGAATTATCAATGGTGTAATTGAATAAAGGATGTGAATAATTCCTGGCTGAAGTATAATCTAGAGAATTATTTCTGTCCTAATCCAAAATAGATGAGTTATGTAAACAGAATATATTTTAAAAATTTATTCTTGGGCCTGGCATAGTAGCTCATGCCTCTAATCCGAGCACTTTGGGAGACCAAGTCAGGCAGATCAACTGAGGTCAGGCGTTCGAGACCAGCCTGGCCAACATGGCAAAACCCCATTTCTACTAAAAATATAAAAATGAGCCAGGCATGGTGGCAGACCCCTGTAACCCCAGCTATTCAAGAGGCTGAGGCAGGAAAATTGCTTGAACCTGGAGGCAGAGATTGCAGTGAACCAAGATTGTACTACTGCAGTCCAGCCTGGGTGACCGAGCGAGACTCCATCTCAAAAAAATATGTATTTATTCCTTTATACCTTAAAAAAGTGAAGTTTTATTATAAGAAAAGGTTCTTATGCCACTTCTTTTTAAAGTGCCTGTTTTGCTCTAGGTAACGAGTATAATATAAAGAATGATAAAGAGGCACGATTTTTGTTTTTGTTTTTGTTTCATTGCATTTTGGGTTTTGGGGTACATGTGAAGAACATGCAAGATTGTTGCATAGGTACACACGTGGCAGTGTGATTTGCTGCCTTCCTCCCCTTCACCTATATCTGGCATTTCTCCCCTTGCTATCTCTCCCCATCCCCCCCCCCCCCCTGTCCCTCCCCCATTTCCCCCCAACAGACCCCAGTGTGTAGTGCTCCCCTCCCTGTGTCCATGTGTTCTCATTGTTCAATACCCGCCTATGAGTGAGAACATGCGGTGTTTTTCTGCTCTTGTGTTAGTTTGCTGAGAATGATGGTTTCCAGGTTCATCCATGTCCCTACAAAGGACACAAATTCATCATTTTTGATGGCTGCATAATATTCCATGGTATATATGTACCACATTTTCCCTGTCCAGTCTATCATCAGTGGGCATTTGGGTTGGTTCCAGGTCTTTGCTGTTGTAAACAGAGGCACGATTTTTGAATAAGTGCACATAATTTTTGTACACTTGCATCTCTAACTCATCTAACTCTTGTTAGTTTTATATATTATTTTCTAATTGTTAAATGACTTATAGCTTATATTCTTCATCAACTAGAAGGAACATATGTAAACAGGGATTTTCTTATACTGATTTTTTTGTACCTTCATTTTGCTTAGCACAGGATTAGGTATACTGTGAGCACTTATTATATATAAGTTGATATAATTAAGTATAGTTTTCAATCTTCTTTTTCAGTATGAGAGTTGAGGGGACAATCTAAATTGTCCTAGCCAAGAAAAATGTAAACTTCAAAACGTTAGACTTTTCATTTTCTTAAAGAAAAGCCTTCTTTGTTTTCTATCAAAATTTATATCAGGTCTTTGTCAGGAATTTGAATAAGTATTGAAAGTAATCAGATTCAGAAAAGATAGAGTCTAGAAGTATATTTCTTTGTTTATAAGCAAACAAGTTGAGTCAGTATTAAAGCAAATTATCTCATATCCCCGTGCCTTATATGGTGTGCTCTATGTGACTTCTGAGTCACATATGTTTTTATAGTGTATATACAAACTATAGAATAGGAAGTAGGTAGAAGATTTCTATATAAATGCCTAGCGTGACCTAATGCTTTTTTGTCAGGACTTTTTCTTTGTCATTATTAGGTTTGAATTGCTAGCTGAAGATCTAATAAATTGCAGTTTGTTTCATAGAAAAATTGTAATGAGTCCTACTCATAGAGCCAGTTCTTGATTACTTATAAGTGAATTATGCAGCAACCTTTTTTAAAAATAACTTTTTATTATGGAACATTTCAAAGATTTACAAACGTACCCATTATATCCACCTTCAACAATTTCTCATCTCTTTGCTAATCTTGTTTTGCCTTTATTTCCCAACACCCACCCACCACCACCACACAAACAAAACTGGAACAGTTTAAAACAAATCTCAGACATAATTTAATAAATATTTAAGTGTTTTTTCTAAAAGGTAAGAGTTGTGTTAAGTCATAACTCTAATTTTATCATCACATTAATAGTAATATTAGTAATTGTAATGTTTTGATATATACATTATATATGATAATTTAAACTTTTAAAAATCATTAAAGATTGGTGTTCCTTCTGCAAAATTACTGTGCGTATGTTTAAAATAATTGTGGGAGGATCTTCTTAGCCCAAAAGCTTCTTAAGCTGATAAGGAACTTCAGCAAAATCTCAGAATACAAAATTAATGTGTAAAAATTGCTAGCATTTTTATACACCAACAATAGTCAAGCTGAAAACTAATCACAAACTCCCATTCACAATTGCCACAAAAAGAATAAGATACCTAAAAATATAGCTAACAAGGGAGGTGGAAGATCTCTGTAAGAACTATCAAACATTGCTCAAAGAAATCAGAGATGACACAAACACATGGAAAAACATTTCATGCTCATGGGTAAGAAGAATCGGTATTGTTAAAATGACCATACTGCCCAAAGCAATTTATAGATTCAGTCCTATTCCCATTAAACTGTCATTGACATTCTTTACAGAACTAAAGAAAACTATTTTAAAATTTATATGAAACCAAAAAGAGCCCGAATAGCCAAGGCAATCCTAAGGAGAAAGAACAAAGCTAGAGGCATCATGCCACGCAACTTCAAACTATACTACAGGGCTACAGTAACCAAAACAGCATGGTACTAGTACAAGAAAAGACTCATAGACCAATGGAAGAGAATAGAGAACCCAGAAATAGACCAAACACCTGCAACTATCTGATCTTCAGCAGACCTGATGAAAACAAACAATGGGGAAAGGTTTCCCTATTTAATAGATGGTGCTGGGTAACTGGCTAGTCATATACGGAAGACTGAAACTAGACCCTTTCCTTATACCGTATACAAAAATCAACTCAAGATGGATTAAAGACTTAAATATAAAACCCAAAACTACGAAAACTCTGGAAGACAACCTAGGCAATACCACTCAGGACATAGGCATAAGCAACGATTTCATGATGAAGACGCCAAAGGCAATTCCAGCAAAAGCAAAAGTTGACAAATGGGATCTAATTAAACTAAAAAGCTTCTACACAGCAAAAGAAACTATCAGCCAAGTAAACAGACACCCTCCAGAGTGGGAGAAAATTTTTGCAAACTTGTACCTGACAAAGGCCTAATATCCAGCATGTACAAAGAATTTAAGCAAATTTACAAGAAAAAAACAACCTCATTAAAAAGTGGAAAAAGAACATATACTTCTCAAAAGAAGGCATACGTGCAGCCAATAATCATATGAAAAAAAGCCCAACATCACTGATCATTAGAAAAATTCAAATCACAACCACAATAAGATACTATCTTACGCTTCTCAGAATGACTATTATTAAAAAGTCAACAACAACAACAACAACAACAACAACAACGGATTCTTGTGAGGTTGTGGAGAAAAAGGAACAGTTATACACTGTTGGTGGGAGTGTAAGTTAGTTCAACTACTATGGAAGATATTATGGCAAGTCCTCAAAGACCTAAAGACAGAAATACCATTTGACCCATCAGTCGCATTACTTGGTATGTACTCAAGAGAACATAAATTGTTCTGTTGTAAAGACACATGTATGCATATGTTCATTGCAGTACTATTCACAATAGCAAACGTAAATGCAATCTCAAAGACATGGAATCAACCTAAATGCCCATCAATGATAGAGCAGATAAAGAAGATGTGGTACATATACACTGGAATAATCTGTAGCCATAAAAATGGATAAGATCACGTCCTTTGCAGGGACATGGATGGAGCTGGAGGTCCTTATCCTTAGCAAACTAATGCAGAAACAGAAAACCAAATACTGCTTGTTCTCACTTATAAGTGGGAGCTAAATAATGAGAACATACGGATATATGGAGGGAAACAACACATATTGGGGCCTTTCAGAGGGTGGAGGGTAGGAGGAAGTTCAGGAAAAATAACTAATGAGTCCTAAGCTTAATACCTGGGTGATGAAATAGTCTGCATAGCAATCCCCATGACACAAATTTACTTGTGTAACAAACCTGCACATGTACCCCTGAACTTAAAAGTTTAAAAAAATAAAAACTGTGGGAGGAGAACATTGAAGTGTTTCCTCCATATTTTTGCCTATACAGAAAAAAGCTGTGGTGATTCGTCACTTGTATAATGAAGATAATGTTAACATGCCTGAGGATACGTTAAGTACAGTGACAGATGTTAATGAAGCAGTTACTGTGTCTGACTTAAATGCTGCTGAAATAAAGATGCCTGAACTAAAGGTTCCTGAAATCGAGGCTGAGCAACAGGTAACAATTTTGGACTTTTTAAATAGATACCAATATTTCTTACTTAAATATTTAAATATTCTAGCCTCTAAACTTGGGAATATTTCTAGCCTTTTGAATTATTAATCATGATATTTTACCTATGTTACAATTAATCAGTAAGTCTCATTAAAAATAATTATTTGCTGGATATGTTTAGGGTGCTGGGCTAAGTGTTGGAGTAATGCAAAGTAGAATAATATATGGTACTTGGCTTTAAGAAATCTACAATTTAGTGAGACATAGAGATATACTACTTTGCACAGTGGAGGTTCTCTACCACCTATTTCTTTACTGGTGAATGGAAAACATTGGCACTTTATTGCCTATTCATTTTCCTTTCTGGGTCCTGGCTATTCTTTTCTGTCTCTCTTAAGATGCCATTTCTATTACTCTTAATTTCCACAGACCCCAATATATGTCTGAGCTCTACTGTTCCTGCTAAAACTTCTTTTTCTGTGCTTCGATGTCTTGTGACTTCTACAGATCTCAGTATATCAATATGTAATTGTCACTTACAGAAACTACCAGATGCCCATTGGACCTACTTCCTGTTATATGGCAAACTGAACAATCTCAATGCACTGAGTATTGTTTTTGGTCATTTCTTCTTAGCTTTGTGCTAGGTGTTGTTTCAAGAAGCTAGTTAATACTAGTTTTATTTTACTGCCTGGTATTAAGAGAATTATGCAGATTAACTCATCACAAGAATCATATGAGGTAGATACTGCTCTTACCTCTCTCTCTCTCTCTCTTTTTTTTTTTTAAGATGATGAAATGCAGGCATCAAGGTCATAAATTTTCAGAACTAGTTTAAGTGGCCAAGTTGTCTCCATCCAGAGATAACCCTCTTGACTCTCAAGCAGGACTGTCTCTCCTAACTACTGAGATAACACAGTGGAAGTGGGAATACATTAATTTTAAAGGAAATTCAGTTTCTATAATTTTACTGTTAATCTCTCTAACCTTTTTAGGATATAAATGTTAATCCTGAGATCACTGCAGTACAGACTATGCTTGCTGAATGCCAAGAAAATCTTAAGAAACTAACTTTGATAGAGAAAAGGTTAGACTATTTGGAACAAAAAATGAAAGGAAAAGTGATGGTGGACGAAAAGACCTGGACTAATCTCCTTAGTCGTGTTACTCTTCTTGAAACAGAAATGCTTTTGTCTAAAAAGGTATTTTCTTCCTTTAACATTTATAAAATATCTCAGATATATCAAAGTATTTCTTTGTTATATGTATGTTATTGGGGGAATGCTAAATATGAGAATACTTGAGTGATGAGTTAATACCTAGTTAGAACAAAGTCCTGTTTAAATACAGCCTGTATGTTATTGTGGCTGTTTCTCTCTTCATTGAATAAGATAATCTGAAAAACTTGTAAGTTGAATTTTTACAGATGTTAATAATACTTGAAGAACTTAAAATGAGGGAAGAATGTGATAGATTTTATGAAAAGCCTAATATTATTTTATATCTTTTAATAGTACAGATGACCTATTTTCATAGAGTAGAAAAGATACAGAAGATATTGATAACTTTTTTCTTTTTTTCACTCATTTACTTCAATCATATTGTGAATTTCATAGATGAGTTACCAAATTTACCATTGCCTTATCAAATCTGAGGAATTTGTTTCTTTTACTCAGGATTTCAATTTCTGGTCTGTCTTTCCTTCCTAGAAAGTGAAGTTGATGGATTTAAGAAGCTTGCTATCTGCTTTCATATTTAAAACATTTCTTATATGTGGAACATACAGTATATGTATTACTTTATAAATACAAAAATTAAAAATATTTAAACATTTATCATGCTATCTTTATATTTTATGCTTGGTATTAAGAATATAAAATGAGGGGTTTTCCTTTTATTTCATTGTAAATATTTAACTGTTATTTCAGAGTGATGAGCTTAATGAAATAAGTGAAGACTACGCTTCTTGTAGCGACATGAATCTTCTGAATCCTCGTAAGTTTGTAAATACTATTAGAATTGGTATGATGAGTTTTCAGAAAAATGATTATTATAGGTATTTGGTAATTTTAATATTCTTAACCCTTATTGTTTAGAAATTGCAAAGCTCTTAGAACAAAGAAAATAATGAACCTGCATACCTCCAAAGCCAAGAATTGCTTAAGAATCCAGCCTACTTATTTCACTTAACAGAGTGGGTGAATAAATTTTAGTGTACAAAATTGAAAATTTTTAGAGATATTTTACTGTCTTAATCATTCTAGAATAATCAAGTGCTCTAGAATATTAAAATAGGCCTCCAACTTTTAAAATTTAAGCTGAGGTAGGTACTAGCTTTCTCATAAGTAAATAATAACATGTAAGAGAAGAAAACATCTTTGTCAGTAACCTATAAAGTATTGCAAACTTCTTACATGTGAATAGTTCACTGATAATGATAAAATGAGAAAGATCTAATATTAGGACAGGTCTTTTCCGTGTCACATAACTTTACTAGGCTATTGATATTTTGCTCAGGATAAGATTTCTGTTTTTCAGTGACAGCTTTGTTGTTTTTTTTTTTTTTTTGATTCTTATATTTTTTAAAAGACAGATCTAAATTGTGTGCTACATCTGTGATTAAGTCATATCTATAAAGAGATGTTTTGTCCAATTGAGAATTCATCAAGTTAAATTTTAATATCTCTGGATGGTTAACATTATAAAATCTTTTAGCTCTACTGTATATGTCACAATAAAATAACAGTATATTCTAGAAGTAACAGTGTGCCTAGCACTATTTACTATATTAACTCATTTAATTCTTGAATGCAAGATAAGTACTATTTTTATATTTTATAGATGAGGAAACTGAGGTACAGCAAAATTAAGTAACTATGACAAAAGTCACACAGTTACTGAATGGCAGGTCAAATTTGAATCTAGGCAACTGATTTGAAGGTTTTTCTTAACCACTGCATATTTGGAGCACCTATCAATATCATCACACGGAGAATAATTTTGGTGATTAGGTTATTAAATGTAATTATTTGAGATTCTATTTAAGGCAGCTAAATTTACTACAGGCTGCAGATTTCAGATTTGGTAAAATGTTGCCTGTTTTATTTATCCATTCATGTATTTATTTAACGAATGTTAAAGCTTGACTATAGGATCCTTGGGAGCAAAACTTTATCTTATGGTCTGCCTGTCTAGCACACAGAAAATATATCTGTGCTTTTATCACCAATATTCGCCTATAGTAGAGTTTAAATATTTACACATTGAAAGAATATTGAATGCTTGCTATTTGCAAAACATTGCCTTTTGCAAGTTTGATTTTACATCTTCAGGCTTATTTTTTTTTTTAATGACATGATTATAGAATATATATTTAACCTATTTAGAAAACACATGGCTAAATTTTATTTGTTTGTTTTGTGAGACAAGGATGGTCTCACTCTTGCTCAGGCTGGAGTGCAGTGGTGCAATCATAGCTCATTGCAGTCTCCTGGGTATTAATTCCTTGGCTTAAAGTTATCCTCCTGCCTCAATCTCCTGAATAGGTAGGATTACAGGTGTGTGCCACCACAACTGGCTAATTTTTATTTATTTGTTTATTTATTTATTGTTTTTAGTAAAGACAAGGTTTCGCTATGTTGCTCAGGCTGGCCTTAAACTCCTGAGCTCAACTGATCCTCCCGTCTCTGCTTCTCAGTGCTGGGATTGCAGGTGTGCATTACCATGCCCAGACTCACATAGCTAAATTTCAAAAACTGTTGCCAGGACTGAGAATAATTAACAGATAGACCACTATCTGAAACGGATTAGAGATTACGATTAGGGTAAATACCTGGTCTCAGAGTTTATGATCTGATCTAAGTTAATCAAAAGACTCAAGTTTATAAAGACACATTATACCTTATACATGCTACTTGGAAATAGGAGAGTTTGATTTCATTTGGTTGCAGAAAGCAATAATTTACCATTCTTGGTTTAGAATCATGTTAAATCAAGAACAGTTTTTGCGAGGTTCTAGATTTGTTTTGCCTTTATCAGGAATACAGTGTTCCATGAACTGTAAGGCACCTTAATGTCTTGGTAAGAGTGAGTTAGCAGAGGCTTTTAAGAATTGGGCTTGCATTGGATAATTTAGGAGAGGGCTTGAGGTAGCAAGGGCTATGGGTGCATCAGGAATCAGGAGCAATTTGATGATTGATGGTAAGAATGAAATAGAGTTGAAATTTTCATAAAATAGGTACTTGTATTAGGTAAGGGGGGCTTTTATCTGTCCGGTCATTTATGTGGTTACATGGTGCCCTTGTTTTATCTGTATTCAGACATGACAGTGGTTTTAGGGGTTTTGTTTCATTACAGTAATGAAGTGACCTCATGTGATGCTATTTTTTATGAAATTATATTCAGTAGAGGGTACAGTACGTTAGGTGTTAACTGCCAGATAGGGCACCAACTGTTAGGGCTGCTTCTTTGTTTGCTTGTTTGTTTGTTTTGCTTTGTTTTATGCCTTTTTCATCTCAGAGGAAAAAAATATTATTAAGAAAGGTGTGGCACCACAGAATAGTGTGGTGCTGAAGGAAGCTGAAGCAGAAGAGTAGAAAGATCAAGTCGTGGAGTTTGTCCTAGCATCATCGAAAGATTTTTAGCAAGTATTCTCAAGTTTGTGTTTCACAAAAATTGTCATCAAAGCAGAATAGTGATTTGTTAGGAAAGTAAGATAGGCAAGGATAATTTGAAGAGTATTTAGTGATCATTATTTCCAAATAATAATGAGCGTATCTACTAAGGCAATGCTAGTGAGGATAAAGATTTGTTTGGGAGATATTTAGATGTTAAAATTGATATGCCATGATCCCTGATAGATACAGAAAGAGTGAAGGAGAGTAAGAAAGTTAAAACTGACTACTTGTGTTTGGCTCATGTGATTGGGTAGATGATTGTTAGTTACTCTTTAATGGAAGAGAAGGTTTGGGAGAAATAATCAATTCACTTGTGATATGTAATAAATTATGTTTAAAACACTTAAGACAAATATCTAGAAAGCAGTTAGATGCATACATTGGTCCTTGATTTAGAAGTATTGGCTTACAAATTATTAAATGGTGAAGGACCCTACTGATTCTTTTAGTGGAATAAGGTGATAAGCCTCCAAAGATGGCAGTGAAAGATTAATTGTCATGTTGTTAGAGTTGGCTAGAAGATCTCATGTCCCATACCCTTAGAAGAAGAAGAGACTCTTTCTTCATAGAGACTTGTTAGCAGTCACTACTGAAGGACGTAGCAACTGGTGTCGGGGCCTGGTGTCTGTTGCCATTGCCTTTCCCGATTTTTTTCCAACCTGAACTCAGTTATCAATTTTTTTCTCAATCCCCTGTAGCACAGCTAAGAAATGATTAATGTTTAAACAAGTAAGACTTTACTAAAAGATTCAGGAAAGCAATAAGAAAAATTAAAATTAATATGCACTTAACTGATCTGGCTATTAAATATAGCTAGTGTTCTGTAATAGTGCACTCTGTAACCTCTAACCATAGGAATAAATAGGAATAGCCTGCCAGCTGCCTAATGCCAGCTTTCTCCCACCATGAGGCACACCCTTGAATAAGGTTAGATGGCTCAAAGTCTGGACCCCAAAGTGGAAGACAAAGAGAGCCATTCCTTTACCCTTTATCTGTCTTCCCAGACCTGTTTCCTTATATTAGGGCCCCCTCCTCTTTTTGGAAAGACATAAGAAATGTTCAGCACAACTATCTGTACCCATAGAAAATAATCCAAGTTTTAGGGCATAGTAGATATAGTTCCTGCCTAATTTCAAATTATTTCTTAAAATAACCTCTTGTCCACAGCTCCTGCTAAAAGATCTGGGTTTTGCTAGTCTTCAGCTTTGTACCCCGTAATCTTGACCCCCAGGCTTAGCTAATTGGATTAAGAATAGACACCTAACCCAGAGAATACCAATCCAAAGTGTGTTGAGTCAAAATACCTTCTCTTAGATTTGGAATTAGGACACCACGAATAAGTTAGTGAAATGATATTGAGCCTGGACTGGGCTGGCTATGTGGTTCAATGATGAGTCAGCAGAGAAAGCCATTCTATAGAGAAAAGCAGAGAAATGGAGCAACTGGCA